AAAAATGTCTAAAATTTCGGCTAAAAGAACCCTCTTTCTCTTTTTTAAAAAATCTTTTCTTTTTTATTTATCATTCAAACATATTTGCAGAAAATGTCTTCAAAATTTTAGCAGAGACAGTGATAGTTTCAGGAATACAGTTTATGAGAGAACATAACTGCTGATCTTTTGATTTTGCTTTAGTCATCAATATTTTACCATTTCCTGTCGACTTCAAAAGGGGGGGGGGGGGGGGGGGGCTAAAGGCTTCTTGTTCAACTCTGACAAAACAACCTCTACATATGTCTAAGAAACCTCTCTTTGAATGGCACGGTCGGTTAAACTCGGTCAAATATTTTTAATCGTAGGGAAAGGGGGGGGGGGGTTAGGTTCGAACTTTAGTACCTAATTTTTTCTCCAAACACCAAAACTTTACCCATTCTTAGCCTATACTGCGAGGTGTCTGTGGAAAGTGGGGGGGGGGGGGGGGCTTAACCTATGTGAAAAGGGTTCAATGTCTTTACTAAGTATATATTGGGAAAAAAAGGGGGGCTAAGCTCCCCTAGCCCCGCCCCCCCTGGTTCCGACGCCTATGATAAAGAAAGGAAGTGGCTACGATATTTATGAAATTTTAATGTCCGATGAGGAATTATATTCCCAAAAAGTAAGACAAGAGTTTCCAAGGCAATTGAACACTCCATTATTTCAGATTGTTCATTAACATGTTCATAAACGTAAAAACTATAAGAAAAGTGAAAACTTGACTATGTAATTCATTTATCAATATGACTGTACCTCGATTTATATTGAGAAATTCAATATATTTTAACTTCATGAAAAGATGTACACATTTGACTTTTATTTATACCCCCCCCCCCCTCCCCACAAAAAAAAAACACGAAAATCCTGTTCATATGACTTCCCGCTCTCAATTTTCACACAAATGCATAAAATAAAGGTGAAATAGTATATTTTGTATCGCTTAAAATGCAACCAAAAAGTTTACGGTGTCTTTGAAATAAAAATTTCATGCTAAATTGACATAAAAATGATACTCAGCTTCAATTAGCTATTTTCAAACTGTTTTCCCGTGGGTATTTATTTCATCTTATTTTATTTTCTTTTTTATAATAACGTTGGTATTCTATAATGGCAGAGATATACAATTATGACTCGCTTATATACAGTACTCTTTAACTGTTAGGAGTAATTTATATTTCACGAGAAAGGGACGCCATATATTTTTCAGTAAAAATACATAACACGGCGTTAGTCGTTTAATTTCTTTAAAATTTCACGTTTTGTGAATAGTGCACAAATTAGAAAATTAAGTATATGGAATACTTTAATGGGAAATAAAGACCAACGAAGTGTAGTTATTTGTTTTTAGAAATTATATTGAAAAATAATAACGCCATTCTGTCCTCTTTGTTACCCCAGCAGTGTTTGTTGTGTGATTCAAAACTTATTTGACAACCTTATGAATTAGGTTTGATAAAAATAAATCCACAAGATACTGATGTACAAGTAACAGTTACTGGCATAATGCGCCGTTGCTTTATTCTTTAGTTTTTATAGAAAATTGCACGGAATACCCGATTTCGCGGATACAACGATACCCTAATATCGAGTATTATACGCGATTTCAAGGATAATACCCGATTTCGAGTATTCTCTCCGACCTGTTTATTTAAGGTAGATTTATTGGTGAAAATATTAGACTGATATATGATATTATGCACCAATCGGTGTTGAGAAATATACCTGGTCTCTTAATGTTTATAGACTTTGAAAAAAACGTTTGACACCATTTCATGGAACTTCATACATCAATCACTTTGTTTCTTCAATCTTGGTCAGTCAATTAGAAAATGGATAAAATGTTTATATAATAATACAAAATCCTGTGTTATTCAAAATAGGATTGTGTCTCAGTATCTCTGCCCTGAAAGGGGTTGTAGACAAGGTGATCTTATTTCACCGTACCTTTTTTTTACTTTGTACAGAGATTGTAGGTATTTTAATTAGAAAAAGTCTATATAACGGATATAAAAGGTATATCTATTGATGGTGAAGAATACAAGTTTTCTCAATGTGCAGATGATACACATCTGTTATTTCTGATGGCTCTCCAAGTTCATTAGATAGAATTACAAGAGTGTTAGATTATTTTGCATCAATCTCTGGTCTAAAAATAAATTTTTCTAAAACTAAACTTGTCTGGATTGAAAGTAAAACAATCTCAAAAGATGTATTTCATCACTCAAGATGGAAGTTTGATCCCAGTACTACATCCTTTGATTTACTAGGTGTCAATTTTCATCAAAAGTTCCTTTAATTCGGTCTTTGTTTTTACCAATGAATTCTTAGATTTAAATGGAAATTCTTACAGTTTTGATTTCATTCAAAATAACATGAAGGTAAACACAAACTATGTTGAATATGCAGGACTAAGAACAGCAATTAGAAAGAGACTATTCTGTTTTAAGAATTATAAAATAAAGCCAACTTCTAGACCACTGTTTCCATTCAATCTTGGAATTTTCTTAAAGAGTTAAAACGGTGTAAAGATATGTACAGTGTTCTCATAAAGAATAAAAAGGACAATATAACTTCAGTTATGAAATGGTTGGAAAATGGGAAAGGATTTAGTGAAAAATACTGGGAAAATTTCTTTGAGATATCTTTCAAAACAACTCAAGAATCAAAACTTCAATGGTTACAATTCCAAATTTTACATAGTATAATTTCTACTAAATGCCATCTGTTAAATTAAGACTTATTGATTCACCATTTTGCTCCTTCTGTGAGAAGGATATTAAAACTATTGATAATCTTTTCGTTTAATGTTCGTTTTGGTTAGAGATTGAGGAATGGATCGTGCAAAAAGTAAACATGTCTGTTTGTTTTGATAGGCAATCAATTTGATTTGGTAAATTTATATACAAAAACTCCTACAAGTTAGAAAATGTACTTATTCTGATTATAAAACAATATTTTTTTGCAAGTAAGTATGCCAAAACTATAAAATTAAACGTTGAGGCTTTGAAAAATGCTAATACTAAAAGAATTAAAGTAGAAAAATATTTTTGTTAAAAATTGTAAATATGATGAATTTGAAAGACAATAGCAGGAAATAGTTGAAAAACTTTGAAATTTCCCTCACCATTACTTATTTTATAAAGTGTGTGCCCCCTCATCTTTCTCACACACTCTCTCTCTCCCTCTCTCTCCCTCTCTCTCTCTCTCTCTACATAAACTTTCACATTAGTTTTTTTGCTTTATTTCAAACTGTCTTGTATATTTATTTACATATACGTCTATTTTTTACTTCTGTAATCTGTGTGAAAGAAAAAAAAACTCGTAAAAAATATTTGTTCCAAAGTATGATCATCTTTGATTGGGAATATTAATGTAGAAAGAAGAAGGTACAGTTTGAGCTTTATTGTGCCCTAAAAATATAATGTTCTTAAAAGGTTATGAAACTGGATTTAACAATAGTTGAGTAGATGGATATGATAAATAATGAAAAAATATGGCATGAAGGAGGGCCGTTCTGGAAATATGACGTCATGAATTTGGTACATCTCTAAGTTTAATGTATAAAAGCCTCAAAATGACTCATTTCTGTGCTAATTTTCCTTTAGAAAATAGTGTCTGCCACCTTCGCCCATTTAAGTTTTGGATATAACTGCTATGAAAAATCACATATCTCAAAATCTTTTCAGGCAATTTTTTTTTACAATAGCTCCAAAACTATGTTGTTTATAAAGCTTTCATTGATTAGCAGATAGAAAGTACCACTTGACAAAAACTGAATAAAAATATTTATCGAGAAAAAAATCTTTCAAATATGCCTTCTAGTATTTTTTTTTTTATATGCACCTGTTTAATTCTGTACTTTTAGTGAAAGGCGTCAACATGATCAATGCAAAAAAAAATCTGTTTGTCAATGAGAGTCAAGTTGGACTTCGATAGCCTCTGAAAAGATGTTTTCTCTGTTGTTAATTGAAACCAAAAGCACATTGTAAATGGCGGATTATATAGGGGTCTTGACGTTGTACATGCCATGCTTTCAATAAGAGCCTTTCAAAGACCATTCATGTCTAACTTGCCCTTTATTGACAAACATAATTATATTATTTCTGCAATGTTAAGTTAGTTTTTTTTCAACTTTCTACAGTATCCGTTAAACAATGATATATTTAAAACTGTAAAGTTCTAATTTTATATCTCACATTGTTTGTGGGGTTTGTAAAAATAAATTTGTGGACATGTTGACCTATTGATGAAACCTTACTTCATTTTTAGGTACAACAAAACAACTAACTTACCCTTATAAGATTCTACTATGCGCAATCAATTATTTTCTACAACCTGTATTAGTAATCCAAAGAAGTGTGTATAGTTTTAATATTTTTCATCAATACACCCGATTTTCTAAATATTGAGACTAAAATTAAAACTTGTGAAAGTACATAGATGTGTCAATCAAACACCTCAAAAAATTCAAAGTTTCAATATCTTTTAGATGAATAAGATTTTTAATGAATATTTTCGTGTGAAATGCTATTACAATAAATAAGTCATGATATTATACAGAAAATACTAACTTCAAATCTGTGTCTTAATGCACCTTTAAAAACACCCTGAAATGAATAAAAAGAAATAAAAAGAAAGAGTCAAAGATCTTTAACAAGATTAAAAGAAAAAGAAAATTAATGCTATATTTTTCTATAAAACAGTAAAAGATTTTTTTGAAAAACAAAACAGTTTCATTTGATCTGACAGTATTTGCATATGCAATAATATTTTCAAACCGGCAGTAGTATTCTTTGCGCTACTTTATAATTTAAAAATGTCATAACTCCATTCAAAAATCATTGAACCAGATCAAAATGCAAACTTGATCATAAAGTAAGATTCAGATATCTAATTATTTCTGAATTATCATTAACTACTGATTTCCTAGAAAAATATATATGAAAAATATAAGTTATACTTTACTTTTTTTCCTTTAGTACAGCCATACAACACATATCAGAGTCAGTGTTTGTGGGACTGTGTCGTAAAGTGGGGACCTCACAATTGGTGGCCATGAGGCGAGATATGGTGGATATTTGGGATAAGGTGAAAAATCAAGTGAAATCAAGTGATAATATCAGTGTGATGTTGAGTGGAAGTTACAGAGAAGGATTAAGGCTGGAAGGATCAGATTTAGATTTTATGTACTGGCCCAAAAATCATCGCGTAATCTGGGACTTATCTCAATCTCAGTATTACAACACACACAGACAAACACTGGTCCTCTGTGACTGTTCTGATAGCCCACCAGGATTCACTTTGTTATATTTACTGTCACCAAGCATGAACAGTGACATTCAAAGTGCTTGTGTTACAATGAATAACAGACATTGCATATCTAGTTCTAAATGCAAACAAATCGTGCTTTCCAAATCATCCCCAACCAAAGCCACTCCACATGGACCCTGTGCCAGAGGAACAATTAAAACAATAGAATATGATCAAGCTCTCTGTTTTCTTTGTGACTTTTGGCCTCAATCTGCCTCCTCATGGATAGACAGATGTCGTTCATGGCCACAGCCTCATGTTGTTTATAATATAGTTAAAAATGGATTTCACTTTGTAGCCATAGGAAATGGACTAAGTAGACATGAAGACCATGAATGGAGAATCTCTTAATCTCTCGCAGAACAAAAACTTGTGTAAGCAATGAACCACTGTCAATTCTTAACTTACGGCTTACTAAAATTGTTCTTAACAGAAATAATACACAGTGGGCAAAGTGATGATGATAAAATACTATGTTCCTATCACATGAAGACGGCAGTTTTCTGGGTGATTCAACAAAATTTAATACCTCACTGGTGTCCACAAAATCTCCTGGGGTGTTTCTGGGTCTGTTTTAAACTCATACTTAAATGGGTGTATGAGGGTGTCTGTCCTAACTTTTTCATTTCAGACAACAACATGTTTCTGAGTAAAATTCATGGTGAAAAACAACATCAATTATTAATAAGACTGTATGGGTTGTATGAGAAGGGTTTAGCATTCCTGCTACAAAGTCGCTCCATTAGGTCTTTTATTGTAAATGTCCTCCATAACCCCCTACTCTCCATCTGTACAGATGAACATGCTCTGATTTCTGAGGCTGAATTTGATAGAAACCTTTTCATTGAGCTACTCCTCTATAGCACACATCACAAATTCAACATACATGCTTGTATGAGATGTCTACATATAATAGAACATATGATAGACACATCCATCCTGACATTGTATCAAGTCCTTCTGCTACAGAAACTTACGGCTTTTGTCCTTGGGAAAACTCCTTTTTTATTACTCCTGGACATTTACACACATAAAAACAAACTGAGGTATAGAGTTGACAAAATATCCTGTCATATGCTTAAATTGGCAGTCAAGTTTGGTTGTATAACTGATATGTTGTACGTAGCCATGTATTATTACAAGACACTTAGATACACGGACACTTTATCTATTATAGGGGTGATCAAAACCAAGTTAGCACAGCCATATGTGATGTATAAGAGTATTGTAGATACAGAGATGTATACTGAGGCTGTCGGAGGACAATCCTGGACTAGAAAGATGAGACAGGCCTTAGCATGGGATATCATACTCGAAAATGATATCCATTCCATCAGTGAATTGATACCATGGATACTAGAACAACACTCCGCTATACAGAATAATGAGGGAATATTATATATCCCACCGTATATCCTGTTATGAATGTTAGAGTTCTTTTGCTACAGACATGTAGACAGAATGAGAGTACAAACTGCTCTAAATGAACTACAGACCCTAGTTCACTATGATCAGGGACAGCGTTTACCTTTACATCACAGAGACATATCGTGGCAGATTCTGGGGATCTGTCAACAGGTGACAGGGAACCTCCAGGCTGCTCTTTACTCATACCAAAATTCTCTGAGGCAAGAACCCTACAACAACATACAAACAGCTACATTAATGAGAATTGAGCAAATAAAGTTCCTTCTATAAGATTACTTAATTAGTTTTTTTTAAATGACAATCATTTATAAAAGTTTACCTCATAGGGTTAAACAGCATTGTGTTTCTCAGTCCCTGACTGATTCTGAACATAAGAAATCAATTATGCACTACTGTTAGATAAGTTATATAGAAACTTTTAAAAAAAAACTATTGCATAATTTTTATTTCTTAAAGGAGCTGGCGGGTTGTGGGCATTTTCAGACTATTTTGACCTCCTGTAGAAGAAAGATATACAAAAATGATGAAATTTTAAAACTTAAATGTATGAAATATTTCTTTGCAAAACGATAGTTGACAGCTTACGATATCTAGAAAATTAAGTTAAATCTGGTGATTAATTTGTTGACCCCCAGCCTCCTTTAGCCATTTCTTTTGTGCATATTTAATTTAATGCCCAATATCTATACTTATTTGTTGAAAAATAGAGATGATTTACTCATCTGATTCATGTTTCTTTCGAATAAATTGTCACCAAAACACATCTTGTAGTTTTTTTCTCTCAAACAACATTCATATTTTTTTTCTCACAAGGTTACCATTTCTTTTTTCTTATCTTTTGTTTCAGTTCAGGAAATCTCTGGAAATCTTTTATAACAGTAGTTCAAGTTTAAAGATTAGGTTAAAAATCAAACTGATTTCATGTAACAGATTTCGATTATTGGTTACGCACATTAGCAGATTTTTTTCGATCGATTAAAGTACACTTGTAACATTTTGAGTCTTATTGTTAGGAGAGGGGTCACTTTTGACAAAACCAAAACATGTATGGTAGTCACTAATATTCAGAGCACTGTCAAGGCAACAAAATTGAGGTGGTAACAAGCTCCCAAAAGCCACCATATATATAATGATAAAGTAAATCTGAGGAAAATCACATACTACCAACCTGAAGGTAACAGATACAGGGTACAAAGTTCAGCTGGTAACAATTGACAAAAGTATTTAAAGGCTAACCGGAAATCTCTTTAAGGAGGCTCATTACACCACTTTTTGATGACGTACTACACAAAAAATAAACCTCCATTGTGTCGATCGTATTCCTCTGGGGACGAATCGTACAGGTACCTCTATAATATGACCATGACCTTTAAAACGCTTCAAAAAATATATGAAACGTGCGTGTTATGAACAGTGAAAGCAAAGTAACGGATTCATTATGCATAAACCAAGAAGAATTGCTTTTAAGCAATAACAATAGAAAACAACAGTCAAATCTTCGCCAAACAAGAAATGTCAATTTCATAGAGATGCATGCAGTGAGCTCTGTCAATCAATGACATGTTTATATGGAGGAAATTCGAGTTAAAATCTACAACCTTGTTGAAATTAAAAAGTTATTTACTCGCGCTATTTACTGTGTTAGTGTTAATTTATATATTTGCTTTATTGATTTAAATGTATATACTGACAATTTAAAGCTTTGTTCTGAATTTTAGTTGTAATGTCAAACGTTCCTTGATGTTTTGAGTCTTGGGTAATAAGGAAAGATAACTCTTGAAAGTGGACTTTTTATACCAAATATTTTTTAAATTGGACTTTTCATTTCGTTTAAACATTCTTCATTCAATTTGACACATGTAATTCATTGAAATACATTCACTGTCTCTTCAGAACTCATTTTCTTAATGTTTTATGCACAGATTAAAAAGATAATGACATCAGTTGTTTTTTAGGAGAAAATTATTTTTTCTAATAAAATTATTATTAGGTATTATGAGGTATTTTCAATGTATGTACTTGTTTTAAGAAGATGTCCATCACTTGACACTGAAAATTCTGAAATGCTGTTAATAATAAACTTGAAATAAGACATTTCACTAAAATTAGACGAAACTAAAAAATTCTATTTTAAAAAATATTTATGATATCAATACCCCCATCTGGATATTTGACATCTACATTATAAGTGGTGCTGTACTGAAATCTAAAATAAACTGTGGATGTAATGAGCCACCTTAAATGAGTTGTGTTTGTGAAACACTGACAGGTCAAAGTCAAAGGTCAAAATATTTTTGATGCATGCTTCTGTTTGTTTAACGTCCCTCTTGAGAATTTTTCACTCATATGGGAGACGCAACCACTTGCCGGTGGAGGTCTGCAAATGTATAGCTATTTTGAACACCCAGGGCCACTGAGCAGTGAGGGATCTTTTTCACGCCAAGACTTGCCGTGATGTGGGACCTCAGTTTACATGGTCTTAGAACCAGTCCCCATTTCCCGCAGTTGATATTCTAAAGTTCATAAGGATCAGTCGCCGGAAATTTTTTGTAAATAGGCAAGCAATTAGAGCAATTTGATGCATATTCATTATATTTATTTATTTACTTCAGTAATAAAATAAAACCCATGTGTTTATATTGAATTGTTTTTAAAGGCAAATGCGTTACATTTTTAGAATTTTTAACTTACTTTATAAAAGGTATCAAGTCAGTTTAATCTTAATTTCTAAAATTTATGTAAATATTTTGATTTCTTGAATGCAGAAGAGTCTGAACTTTTCAACAAAAAAGTATCTTTTTTTAGTTGAGCATAATTTGTAATGATGACTCAAAATGTAATTAACAAAATTTTTACTTTGTGCGTTACATTTTGCATCGATATCAATGCAAAATGAAATAACGCAAAAGACAAATGTTTTTATTATTTAATTTGCATGGAAGATAATTCAGAAAGTAATATTGCAAATATTAAGGACAGATGATACAAACTTTTGTTAATTTTTTTTTTTGAATTAATAGCTTGGGTCATATTTTAATGAATAAAAAGAATAGGTTTTACCGCGAATTTTTATTGTAAGTTCCACAAAAATGGAATTTGAAGTAAAACTTATTTGTATAGAATAATAAGGATAGTTTCAGGAGGGTAGAATTTGAACGTCATAGAATGTTTACAATATTTTTATATTCTACAAATTTCTTATTTGCATCATTTGCAATGAAATTAGGTCAAAAAATATATACCAATCCATGAACTCATTTTTTGTTTGTATCATCTGTCCTTAATGATCGATTATGATCTCTACTAAGAAATTTATTTTTTAATTTAAATTCCTTGGTACAATTTTAAATTTACTTAAGTATATTCCTGTAGAAAATATGTCCACGTTACAAACAATAGCTTAATTTAGCTACTAACATTTTCGTATGCAATCTTTTTAACAAAACATACTCAGTATTTTTATTTGAGCGAAGAATCAAGGACAGCAACTTGTAAGAAATATACTCTGTACTTTATTGTAGAGTTTTTACAAGAGTGCTCTGTCAGAATTAATTCAATGTAACAAAATTCGTAATTTTGTTTCCTGTTATGATAATCACTGTGTGTGTAGAAACGAGTTATAATGATGGATTGACACAAGTAGACAATATAAAAGCTTTGTATAATTACGTATACTGTACAATTGCATAGAACTCTGGATTATTGTATAACCATATATCAATATAAATGAATAAAATCCAACTTCCCCCTCTGCTCTAGAGGAGTTTGATTTTACACAAGTAATTCAACAACCTACTCGAATTACAAACACATCAAGAACACTCATTGACCATGTTTACACTAATTTACCTGAAATCATTTGTGAAATTCAAGTGCCCCCCATAGCTTTGTCAGACCACTACCTGGTGTGTTTCACAAGAAAA